ATTTATATAATTAAAATAAGCTAAAATGGTCACCCTAGCTTGAAAATTAGGGTTAGAAGTATAGAGATGCTCTCTGACTTTGGAAAAATCAGAGAACATCCCCTCTATGATGAGGAATAAACCCTAAAATTATCAAGCCATGGTGAGCACTCCTTAATCATGGAGAGTTAAAATACCTCAAAGGGTATTTAATTAATTAAAAATCATATGTTTGTCAAATAATTTTTGATTTAGTTCACATTATTCTCTTCTGTTCACTGAGCAAGCGGGTATTTCTATTTTATTTTTTTTTTATTTTTCTATAAAAAGTTATGAATTTTCAAAGATCTGTCATTTTTTAAAGAAAAAGCCTTAATTTTTTATTTATCCCAATCAAGCGCCGCGTCATCCTCGTCCTCCTTGAAGCGCCATGTGTCGTCTCTTGGTTCGGCACTACCATTTGACTCGACAGCCACGCGTCTCGCTGTTCATGCATGAAGACTCCATCCGGCTTAATCTCGTCCGTCCATCCAATACACACTCGATTAGACGGCTCTCCGTCATCGTCCTCGATAGCCAAAACCTGTGAACCGTCCAACTTTAAACCCTAAGATCTCAGCTTAAACTCAATGAAATCACTTTGAGTTTGTTCCTACACCTTCATCTACTCAAGACGAGTATATCTATATGGTTACTCTACTATGAATTGTAAGTTTTCTTCACAAAGACCAAACCGAGCCCAAAATTAGGGTTAGTGAGCTATACCTTTGCCCAAGAGGTTAGGCCTCGATTGGGTGCTTATGAAAGCTTCAGTGGAGTCTGACAAACCTTGTGGATGTGTTTATTTCCTCTGGTGAAGGCTCCAAGTATGAGTTAGATCAATGGGTGGAGCGACCTTGGTCTAAGTATAGGTTAGAGGGCTCAACAGAGGGGGATTTTGATGGGGATCTTCCTCTCTTGCTCTGGTGAAGCTCAGGAGCAAATCAATTTGGGGTTTAGGGGAGTTTTTTAGGAAGGCAGAATTTTGCCGTAATTTTGAGCTAAAAAATTGAGCTCAAGTGATGGGGAAGATGGTCAAAGGATGGTTGCAAAAGAGTTAGGGAGGAAGATCCCCTTTGAAGCCATGGAGGAGGGGTTTAAGTAAAACAGCCTAGGGTGGCTATCATGGCCTCCAATTAGGTGCAATGTGGAGCTGAGGTGGAGGGCTTCAAGATGCTAAACACCAATCTGAGCTAGACACATTAGATGGGTAAAATTGGGTTTGAATTTAGGCATAGAGGCTCTTGGTTTTAGCTCCTCCGGTGACTAGGGTGCCATGTGGAGGTGCTTAGGTGGCTCAGGAACCTTAGAGGAATCTTTCACAACAATTAATTTGGGATGGTGATAGGTTTTGTCAAAGATAGCTTTAGCTTAAGCAATTTTAGGAAACAAATCCCTTGATTTAGGGGACCTTTGGTCCATGGCTCATCTAGGGTGTGTTAAATATGGTATAACCTGGATCAAAGGGGGAGCTTAGTGGCTGTGGAGTCATCAATTTGGTGGCCTTAGGATGACTAAGTTAATTTTGGTACAAAGGCCCAATTTGGGTCCAAATGGCCAAAGGTTGGGTTTGAGTTAGGCTAGACATGGTCAAATTGGCCAAATTGTGTTCAATTGGAGGGTCCAAATTGGTTTTAGAGATAATTGAAGTGATTTTGGATGTTTTGGAAAAGTTTGGGGTGCCAAGGGTATTTTTGTAATTTTGGCAAATTTAGGGGTATTTTGGTAATTTTGGAATTTTTTGGTGGATTTGGGCAATTTAGGTATTTTGAAATGGTTTCAAATAATTTTTGAATAAATTTGGGTATTTTTGGTGAATTTGAGGATTTTGACCAAATTTAGGGTTTCAAAGGCACTTAGGTAATTTTGGTAGATTTAGGGGCAAAAGGCCAAATTGGACATTTTGTGAAGAATTGGGGTACCGATCACCCTATATGAGCTATGGGTCAATGAAATCCCCATTTGGATCCTCTATGTGCTGGTCTTAGCCAAACCCTGGCCTAGGGCTAGTGGGTCTAGGGGACCAACTACATGAGTTTCCCAAAAGTTTCCCAAAAGATCAAGACCAACTACATGAGTTTCCCAAAAGATCAAGAGATCAAAGTTAACAATTTTGGGTTTTGATTGTGGGTGATAGTGAGTGTGATAGTGAGTGTAGTGAGTGAACTAACTCCAGACCAACACCCAGAGTCAACCCTAAGGTGAGATAGCATTATGGGAACTCTCCTTGATCTCCCCCATAGTGACCCTACCTACTATGTGCTAGAGGTTAGGACAAATATGTGGAACTTCAAGTTGAGCAAAGAGGAGTTTAGAGTTTCTAATGGTGAGGGTTCCTTTTCTAGTCTTCTAGGAATAGTCAATAGGAAAGCCCTATGGCTAGACCCTAGGCTACTAAAGAGGGAAAACTAAACCTCAACCAAAAGTGAGGTCAAAACAAGTCCGTTTATTTGAGAAATTTGAAATTGAAAAAATATTTAGAAACATCTTTTTTTACCTAATTATAAGGAAGAACTGAGAATTTTTTGGATCGAAATCGAAATGGTGATTTTTTTGGAACTGGCGCATGATGCATTAGATTGACGCAAGATGCGCCACATTCTAGAAAGCTGGCGCATGATGCGTCAAAATCGGCGCATGATGTGCCGCTATGACGAAAATGTCTTAAAACATTTCAAAAGGCAGTTTTTGGCAGTTCTTCTTCTTATAACTCTCAAAAACTGAATCCAATGTCCATTTTAAGGGGGAAAATGAGAGAAGAGTCACTAGATTTCAATTTTAATGGCGTCCCACTCTAAAAATTCGGCTAGATTTGGTTTCCAACCTGAGAAAGTTCATCATTTTTTATGCGCATAAGTTATATGATTGAGTTCTAGTGAAGAAGAGCTAGTGAAGAAGAGGCTAATCAAGAGGCTAATCAAAGAAATGGGGTTAGTGAATCGAGGATTCAACACACCGAATACTCGAGTGGAAGAGATTATTGCACAGAGACCCTAGGAAGTGTTTTGTTACACTGTTGCCACCATAGTTGTCATTGTGGTGAAAGATTTTTACGTACATCTGCATGGAATCAACCAAGGAATTGTCTATGTGCGAGGCAGGTTTGTGCAATTCACTTCCTTAAGAATAAACGAGATGTTTATGTTTTAGAATGTGTCTATTTGTCACTATGCAAATTTTACCCCTATGAGAGATAATATGAATGAACTCTATCGATACCTTACGGATGAAGATGCAAATTGGGAGGCTAGAGATAATGGAAATGTATGTTTTTCTTCATCATTTTTAAATTCTGATTCTAAGGCATGAAACTTCCTTATTGCATTGAAATTACTTTCCACTATGAAAATCAGTAAGGTAACTAAGGAGAGTGTTATTTTGAACTATTGTATTCAAATTGAAAAACCTATTGACATTGGAGCAATAATTATGAAATCAGTTTTGGGTTTGATTGTCAATGGATCTGCAAATGGACTAGGACATCTATCCACTATTTTACTACTATGCAGTTAATCACAACTACCTTATGAGAGTTGGGAAAAAGTGCTTCTTCCTTGGAAGCCAATGGATCCAGAAGTCTACGACAAATGTATTGGAATGGGAGTGAGAATGAAGTGAATGTACTGATGGATCAAGAATCCCAGAATTCATCACTTATTTAGCCTTACTTTGGTTCGAACGTACTGTTAAAAAGAATCAAGAAAATAGAAAAAGATGTGTAGAATCTTATGCATGCACTTGGGAATATTTCTGAATTGTTGGATCATCTAGAGTGGAGACTAAAAGAAAATTTTGAACATGCTTGTCGTATTGAAGATGATTTGGTACGTATGTTCAAGAAATATGCTTGGATTGGGGAGGATTCAACTGAAAATTTTCATTATCAACCCTTCTACAACTTATATGTGCACTACAAATCTATTGGAGGTATTCAAGAGGACGAGAGTGAAGAAGAAGTTTGAACTTAATCTATGCACGAAACATTTTGTCTAGTACTGTTTGTTTTGATTATTTTGTTATGTTGGATTGCATTTACTTTTGTTGTTGAACTCTATCTATGTTTGAGTTTGGTAGTTTGATGTTTAAATTTCAGTGTTAAAATGTTTTGGTTTTCTTTGGACACTGAATTAGATGTTTGTTGGCTTGAAAAATGTTAGTTTGCAATACCACGAATTATATATATATAAGCGAGTTCTGTGTTCTTTGTAAAAGTTTGGTGTTAGAGTAATGTTTAATTATGATTATAAAAGTTCATTTAAATTAATTAGAGTTAGACGGTGCATAACAGATTTCCACAGAAAATGAAATCTGGAAAAATTAAGGCATTGGCGCAAGATGCGCCAATTTACAAAGAGTTAGTTCATGATGCACCAGATTTGGCGCAAGATGCACCAAATTCCCGAAAACATCAGATTACCTAAAAAACTATGAAATTGCATAGTGAAACTCCATTTTTACTGCTTGGGTCATCTCCTACCTCTAAACCTTGACCAAAAGCTTCACATTGAGTGCGATAGAGAGGATTTCAGAGGCCAAAAATCTTAATTTTGCATCTTCTCTTAGTAAGAGCTTCACTTTAACTTAAACTTTTTTTATTTTCACCATAAATTTTACATTATGGAAATTTTAAAATTTGGGATTTTTGATGAAAAAGCTTAAAGGAAAACTCATGGTAAGAAGTTTCTTACCAAATAATATTACTTGGGGAGTTAGATTTTAGATTTTGTAATTTATTGGGAATTTATTTGGAATTTCATAGAACTTCTAATGGCTCCCGAGTAAAAAGAAGAATGTCGTCAGATGATTTTGATGCATGACAATTTGTCAATTTTAAGGCTCAACACAGTTATAACACTCAAATAGAATCAAGAAGATTGATTCAGGAACTCTCATTTACTAACCTGAGTGGCAAGATCGAGAGGTTGATCATCGCAAGAAATTGGGAAAGGTTTTGCTATTTCACTGCAGTAGCGATTGTACCAATGGTTTGGGGGTTTTATGCCAACTTGAGGTTCACTGCTGGTAATCACATCCTTGTAAGAGGTAAGCAAGTTCAATTTTCAAGAGATAGGATTAATGTTTCTTATGGGCTGAGGAATGTATTTCATGATGAATATGCTGCATTGATGATTGATTCATCACTGGATGAAGTGATTGCCTATATGACTGATGAAAGAGGAGAATGGAGGATTAAAAATGATAAGAAAGTTAACTTCTCAGCTTCCATGTTGACTATTCAGTTAAAGGTATGACAACACTTCATCTCTACTAAATTACTGTCGACAAATCATCTAGCCAATGTAACGAAGGATAGAGTTGTATTAAACTATTGCATTCAGAACATGAAATCAATAGATGATTATGCTCTCATAGTTCATCATGCTCAGAGCATAGCTAAGAGCTCTACTGCTAGTGGTTTGGGTTACAGTGGTTTGGGTTACCCTGTTGGGTTACCCTGTCCTGATTTTCACTCTATGTGAGCAATCAGGAGTAGAGTCCCATAGAAACGAGGAAAGATTATAGCCACAAAATCTTGTTGGGAAGCATACGGTTCAAAGAGTTGAATCATTTGTTGAGGATAGGAGTGGAGGTAGTGATAGACCCTCTACATTAGTTGCAGGGGCATATACTTCTCGCTTTGCATCACTTGAAAATATTTTGGAACAACTCATGATTCAACAAATGGATATAGTTAATATTTAAAATCAAATTGGAGAAATTGGAGCAAGAAATGCTTATAACGATGAGTATAAGCAAAGGAGATTTTAGCATGATATAGCTTATGAGGAAGCTATGGTTAGATATCTTAGGGGTGAATACAATATGAAATTTTCTACTTGCCCCAGCTTTACTCCTTATGCTCCTATTCATGATGAAGAAGAAGAAGAAGAAGAAGATGATGATGATGAGGAAGGCGTTGAGGACTGATTTTCTTAGGATTTTAGTTTATTTTATTTGTTTGTATGTTATTTTTTATTATGTTGTTATTGGATGTGATTTGAAACGGTCGTAGTAAAAACATTTATTTTGTGATGTGGACCTAAATTGTAATAATAACAGTAGATTTTTACTTTTTCTGTATTTTTTTCTAGTATTTTCAGTTTTTGTTTCTGTTTTTAATTTTCAGTAAATTCTTTTGAATATATTATGTTTTATTTAACGCTTTAAAGCCTGTATGTATTTTTAAAGTTAGTACCTGCAGTATACCAGAGCTCAGTTTCATAGTCAGAAATCCTCAACATGTTAGTTTTTATTTTTCATGCATTTATTGTTTTCTTTCAGCAACTTAATTTTGTCCTAAAACATTTTTAAATTACTTAACAACTTAAGTTTGGAGGGAAGAAAATTTCTTTTAAAAAAGAAGTAAACTAAATTTTATTTGTCCTCAATTAACAATATTTTTGAAATTAATTTAACATGACCTGGAACATGACCTGGGATATTCCTGGGATATTAAGATTTAACTTTGAATGACTATACTTATGTTTATGAATATTTTGGTAAATTTAGGTAAAAAAGTTTTTAATATCAAAAGTCAATTCGAAAGTTAAAGATATTTGGTATGCTAGGATAAGACTATGTTTTTCTATTTAAAGTAAAGAAAATTGTATTTTTGAAGTTATAAGAATTTTAGAGTTTCATGTAAGAAGAAAAAAATTAAACTTTATGAAAATAAAAACTAATATGAATTTATAAAGTGAAGAAAGGTAAGGATTTTGACTTTAAGAAGAAGATAGTGAAGTTCAAAACTATTAAATGCTATCCAGATACAATAATCATCGCTTGAAAAAGAAAAAAAAAGGATTGAAAGGGTCCTAAAAAAATGAAAAATGAGCAAGGAGAAGCTTGAGGAGATGCTTAATAAAAAACTAGCTTCGAATCAACTTAAGGAAAAAGATTTATTACATTTTCTAAATTTATATTGGAATATTAGTAGCATTATTAGTAAAGTTTTCATGAAGTTCTTTTTCATATGAATATTCTAAGTACCCTTGATATGACAAATTGCACTTCTTATTAAAATAAATAGAGATTCAAAAATCTTAAATTTGATTACTAAATACTCTTAAACTTAGAGTTTGAATCTAAGTTATTAAGGGTTTTTCTTAAATTTTACTATTTTATTTATTAAACTAAAGTATAAAAGTTATAAGTTAATCTCTATCCTAAGTCATATGCTTTTATGAAGTAAAAGTGTCAATTGAGGACAAGTAACATTTAAGTTTGGGGGATTTTGATACACCAAAATAATATGAGTTTTAAGTATATATTTTATGCTTAATTTTGGTGATATTGGACATTAAAAAAGAGTATTTTCATGTCTTTGTTGCAGGTATATAAACTTTAGGTATTTAGAGCAAAAGTAGCAAAAAGGATGAAATTTTGAGCCAAAACAACGAATTTTTGGATTCTAGCGCAAGATGCACCATATTGGCGCAAGATGCGCCGTTTGACAGACAGTTGTTACAAGATGTGTCAGAGACGACTTTTTTGCAGATTAAGGCAGTTTGAGACAAAGTTTGCACAAATTTCAAAAGATACACTTATTTTAAACACCCCTTGGAGTGATTCAATGTAAGCAAACATTTTGGAAAGTTCTTTTATGAAGGAATATGTCTCTTGGATCAATGGACATGCCTTTTGAATATAAAAAAGTTGACTTTTGGATAGAATTTTGAAATGAATTTTGAATTCTTTTTGGAGGGAGACAACCTCTAATAAAAGAAGAAGACTTCTAGGGTGGCGTGAGTAGTGGCGTGTGAAGGGGGAGCGGGGGTGCGAAGAGAGAGAGAGAGAGAAGTCAATAGCTTAGAGATTTTCTTCAAGGACTGTAAGAGGAGAGGGAAAGTGAGAGATTTCCTCTTCATTACACTTCTAAGAGAGAATTGATAGTGCTTGTAAAGAGAGAAAAACTTGAAGAGAAATTCTAAGGATTTGCTTGGGAAGGATTGTGAGATAAGTTGTGTCTTTTTTTTCTTTTGTTTTGTAAAATTGTTTTCATATATGAAATTAGTGTTTTGTTGTATCATTCTGATGAATTCTGAGTAATCTTTTTTATCCTTCTCCCTTCTTTGAGATATAGTTTTATGAAGAATTAATTTTGTTTTATACGGTTTTAAATGTCAATAATTTATGATTATTTGAACTTCGAACTTCATTTACTTTTCGATCTGACCAACTGAAATGTTAAAATATTTTGAAAAACATATGTTCCGAAAAGACTATGATTTCTACAATATGGGGAGAATCACATTTGATTTCATGGAAGAGTATGTCATCCAATTGGGTGTAAAAAAATATGGAAATATACTTTATTGGATGTAGAATTAGAGATTATAATGTGACATATTAAAATCTCTAATTTGGTCTAGTTGATTAGAAACTGATGCGAGATTGTTAGCCCTCAAGGGAGGGAGTAGTGGGAGCTCTAGAGTGGCATTCGGTATCCTCTCAGCCTAACCACATAATTAGGGACCAAACTCTGGATTAGTCAATATTTTTTATGCATTCGAAAGAGGGTAAAGAATAGGATGGCTCCTATTTGGCACAAAATAGTTCAACTATTTGGCACAAAACAGTTGGCACAAAACAGTTTTTATATATTTTTTTTCAAATGATTTTAATTTCTTCACAATCCATATACTTATTATAAAGAGGAAGGAAGCTTTCTTAAACTTGAACTTTCTGTCACAAAAACTTTGTTTAGTTTTCGTAATTTTACTTTTGAAAATTTAGAATTTAGTTTAGTTAATTTTGTTTTTCAACTGCATTTTAATTAGCATTCACTCTAGTATTTAATATTTAAAATTTGCAATTTACTTTTTGTAGTTTTAAAAATTATATTATAAATTATAATCATAAGAATTTACTTATAGCATTTCCAATTTTTCTGTGGGATCGATATCTAGGACTCCATTAGAGCACTTTATTACTTGAGCGATACATATACTTGCATTATTTTTAAAGAGAGTTTGTTAGTTTAATGATTTTTAAAAGATAAAACTATTTTCACTGAAGTTATTTTTTGTTGGGATTAAATTGCATATTTGCTACTGTATCTACAGTGTGTATTTCGTAATATTGAAAAATATTTGCAAAATTAATACACTAAATCCACCTACATCAATGGTCCCTTGCTCCGCACGAAGCAACCTTGGGGGGAAGGAAACTTTGATCCTCTCAGAATTCCAATCATCATCATTCTTTGACCGGCCATTTCTACAATCAAAGGGACAAAGAAAAATTTAGAAAAGGTCATATAGACAATCAAATTATACAACACTACTGATTACATAAGAAGCACAGTAACCGACATGTTGAGGGCGCAAAAGGGACGAAAAGACGTCAAGCTGCAAATCATAGCAACTGATACGCAGATTGAATTTTAATAGGGAAAAAAGTGACACAAAGAAAGAAACTAGATCATTAATCTTGTAAGTGAGACCCTTTCCCACCGAAGTCGTCGATATTTTTTCATTGTATTTTTAACTTTTGAAGTCACCAATTAGTCTTATCATCATCGTATCATTCTCTCTCCAAATAAATCTCTCTTTTGAATCATTGGGATGATTCAAGGAAGAGATATGATGAAATACGCAAATAATTAAAAAATGTGCAGTTCATAAGGTAACATTTGTGTGATAGCCCAAATGTATATGTCTGAAATGGGATCAGATAAAAAATGCTTTGAAAATATATCCGCGAAGAAAACCTTATGAAAGCAACCCACAACTAGAGAATCAAGTTTTTGTACTTGTTCTAGGTCAAGATCAACTCCCAAAGAAAAATATATCTTTGGTTATTTACACTTTTGGGGATACCTAAGAATACTCTCAATAATAATGGTCTTATTTACAATATTTATGATATCCATTTAATTGAAAAACCAAAGGATTTTCTTTTATCATCTCAAACTGGAGAATCTTGACGCTTTTGATGCTTATATTGGGTCATTGGGTAGAGGGTGAATCACTGTATCCACTACAGGTGATGGCACCAGGCATGCAAGGGGGCACGAGATTATATCAATTATTTTTTTTAAGAAATCAATAGTGTTCAAAGGAGGTGTCAATGAAAAAGAGAGGAATCCCTAAGCAGGTAAAGGTAGAAGGTCAGGATACCATGGATCTTTCATCCCAAATTATGGAGAATCTAAGTCTATCTTATCGTGAAGTTAGTCGACCCAATCCTACCACCCCTTATCGACAATCCATGAATTATACCTTCCAAGGAAATTCTAGTAGCCTTATGGTCAGAGGAAAAAAAATCTCTGTTTTCTTCTGACTCTTTAAGAGATAGAATGGGTAAAGTGGGACTTATACTCTCAGTTAAATGACGGAGACGCCGTTGGAATAAAAAGAGAAAAGAGAGGTCTAACTACAAAGCCAAAAAACTTTCACAAAGAACTTACACTCCCTTTTAGGTCATGGGAGCCTTTAACACCCTAGTCGTGCTAGACAACCTCCTAAGTAGAAATTTTATGCTTGGCTTGGTCGATTTAAGAAACACGGGGTTTCTCCTCAAGATATGGAGAATGATGCAGTTAGTTTCAATTAAATTTAAATGTATAAACACTATTTGGGATGACTTGAGATATGTTATTGCAATATAAATTTGTTTTAAATTTGACCAAAGGTCATGCAGAAAAAGTAGAGCAGAAAGTAAATTGCTCATTTTATATATACATGTATATATGTAGAGACACCTATATAAAATTTAATGATATACATTGAAAACGTGTCAGCACGAATCACAAAGACATAGCATGGATGACAAAGGAGGTCACATGGCCCCACGGGTCCTACTAAGGGCACCTAATATGGATAAGGGGAAGATCCTCCTAGAAGAATCCAACTGATTGGATCCACTGGACGAGCCCGTCGTTTCTCAACCTGGATAGACCGGGAAAATAAAACAGGTGAAGTCTTAAGGCGGTTGATGTGGAGCTTCAACAAGTAGCTGCCCAACTTAAGGGCTACCCACTCTCGTAATCGCTTGGCTTAAATGATCGCTCGGCTTAAATGGTCGACTGGCTTGAGGTTTGCTCAGACCAACTTTCATCCGTCTTATAGCCACTCGACTTAAATGGTCGTCTGGACCCTACAGTCGCTCATCTAGAGACCACCGACCTCACAATCTGCTGGATTAATGACCGACCGACCACATCTATAAGCCTCACGTGTTGAATTTATGTATGGACATAAATACCCTCATTCTACCAACGTACTTTAGGGGTACAACATGTAATTATATGATAATTCTTTTTTATAAATAGGGGGTCCATATTATGAATAAAGTTTGTGTGAATTTAATATTCATTTTGTGTTATTGTTCTCTATCTCTCTCTTTCCCATTCTTCAACGTTGTATTTCTTTGATAGGTCTCCCGAACAGATTTGGATTCAACAAATGATATCTAGAATTACGATTATTTTTAAGAGCATGAAAGAAAATTTGATAGCATATAGGTATGGGTGGACATCAAAGTGGTGATTGGTTGAGGGAGATTTATACAAACATTGCATTGCTTTAATTGGGTTGATTGTACTGTGGCACTAAATAAGACGTTGCGACTAACGAAATACTCAAACAGATTTAATACTTTAGGAAAAATTATTCGATACGGACACCACATGCAGAAATGCATGTGATATCTAATCTCCACAGTTGATCACCGCAAAAATGTATTTCGATGAGCCTCAATTTTAACTTTAAAAAAAAATTAAAAAAATTGATCCGCCGTAGAGATCGGTGATCGACGGTGGAGATTGGACACTGCAACATTTCTGCATACGGTGCCAGTATGGAATAATTTTTCAATACTTCAGACCCTTAATTTATCATCTTTTGCAACAAATTAATGCTGCCAATTAAAAGATGCTTTATTTTTTTAATTATTATTTTTTGAGGTGGGCCATGATATTCTCTAGAACGATTATGCTATGATTGAATTAATTTTCTTGATTGAAATCATAAAATATGTGTAGATTATTGTTTTTGAGCTTTAAATTTTTGTTGCTTAAGCCTATGTTAATCAAAAAGATAAATAATAACTGATAAAATATAAAATTAGATCATCAATAGGGCTGTCAAAATGGCTCGTTGTTCGCGAACTGCTCGTGTTCGAGTCGTTAAAAAGCTCGTGTTCGGCTCGTTAATTTCGTTGGATAAGTTAACGAGCCGAAAATGAACTAAGATGTGTTTGTTCGGGTTTGG